ATGTCTAAGGATTTTTTGCTGGTTGTCAAATGTTGAACCATCTTGGCTTGGTATGTCGAGCACAGGATTAGGGAACAGAAGACAACTGATACAAACAGACATTTCTCGTACAAAAATTTGCTCATGGGTTGCGATATCATGAGCAAAGCTCCGAAAATCATAAAAACCACACGCAGGACGTCCAAATAATTCTCAAAACTGGTAAATTTATTATGCAGACGTGTCAATTGCACCCAAACCAAAAACACCAGGGTAATAAAAACAAACAAAGCCAAACCACAAGAGTATTCCACTGCTTTCAAATACGAAACCTGGTCATCTGAATGTCTTTTTGGTATCAAAACGCCGAAACCTCTTTGGTGAATTGCATACAAGTACGTGGACTTTACCAAATGCTTTTTTTGGATCGTTCTGATATTTGCTGCCAAATCGACTTCACCATTTTCCAAGGCGTTTAGGGCACCTGTGTAATTGTTTTTTTCGGCAACCCAGTCGCCAAAGTTGTTGCGATTTGTATTGTCCACGAAATTTATGCGAAAATTCATGGTTTGGGAAAGGACTTTGAGAACTTCTCCATCTACCATTGTGTAATCTGGGAAAATAGAAATATAGTTAGAAAAAACCGATTTGGATTCTTCAAATCAAAATTCTTGGTTTGTGCCAAGATATTTGATGCAAGAAATATAAAGTTCAAGATAAAGGTGATGCTTGCAATGAATTTGACTTAGGATAAATCCTTTATCTTTTACTATTTACCTATGGGAACTCCTCGTTCATCCCTTATAGCTCTGGAGTATCCTGGCAGCTCAAAAATAAAAACATTCAAAGGATACTGCTGCAAATCCAAAATCCTCCTCCCATACAAATCTTCAATCTTCCCAGCTTGTTCATTAGCATTATCCTTGTTCACCTTAAAACTATAAACTTTACCTCTATTACCAAAATTCACCACAAACGGATGGTAAATATAAAGGACACCATACACCAAAGATCTATCCTTTATATCCTTTATCGCCATTATCATGACATTGAGGATTTTGTACTCAGTCCATATCTGTTTAAGGATTTTTTGAACTTGTTCTTCGCTTGAATTTGTTGTCAGGAATAGTAGTTCATGTATTGATTCTTGTTGGAAAATTTTGTCTAAGGCAAAATGGAGATTTGGGCCCCATTGGCAGATTAAGAGATTTAGTTGTTTGTGGCTGAATTTATCATTTGCTATAGTTGATTGGGTGGCTGATTCTGATTTGTTTTCACTGTAAAATAATGGAAATTATTTTTGATATTTTAAATTATTTTATCTTAAGTTTTACTGATTTTTGGTCACTATTTTGGATTTTTACAACTGTGGATAATTACTTAGAATTTTAGGAAATTTAGTCATCTTTTACTGTAGCCACTAAGAATTTTAGTCAATTGACATTATAATTTATTTTAAATTGTTTCAATGTTTGATTTGTATAACTAATGTTTTGACAGTTTTTGATTTGTCTAATTTTTTTAGTGTAATATCTGATTCTCTCATTTCTTCTTCAATGAGAAGTTCTCATTGGAGTTCTTCTTAGGCATCGCTCTTAAATATTGTCATTTTAGCTCATAAGAATCTTTATGTATTTCTGATTGCTAAATAAAACTGAGTTTTAAAAAAAAAAAAGAAAAAAATATTGTGGAATTTCTGACCTTGAGAATTTTTGAATTTTAAACTAATTGAGTTTTGATATTTTTACAATAATTTTGTTCTAATATTATCTAAACTGTAAATACAGTTTTGTGAACAATTTTATCGGCATTACAGCAATAAATAACACTTAGTTTAAAATTTATATATGTAGAACAAAATTTTGCAACAACTAAAAAATGTGACTCATAGGTTAAATGCAGACTTTGGAAGCAATTGTCTTCCAATTCATTCAATTTCTCATGTTTTTCTTCTAAGTAACTTTGTTCTAAAATTATCTAAACTGTGAATATAGTTTTATGAACAATTTTATTGGCATTACAACAATATATAACACTTAGGTTAAAATTTATATATGTAGAACAAAATTTTGTAAAAACTAAATAAATGTAACTTTATCAGCTAAGTCAGACAGAGACCTCAAATTTTTTTGAAATATTTTGTACCTAGTTCTGAAGTTTTAATGAAATTTTTGACATTTATTTCTTTTTTCTTCAGTAAAAATAAATATTACTAAATAAAAAATTAATAATTTAAAATAAACTCACCCACTTTCTAACTTAAAAACAGTCACCGAAGGAGAGAAGTCTGTACAAGTAATTAAATCATCGAAAATTCCTTCTGTGGAATCGTTGAATCCGATTATATTTATAGTTTGGAAAGTCTTGGAAATAACAAATTATAAGAATAATAATTATTAACAATTTTATTATAATTATTTATAATTTTACCAATTTTCTTACCTTTGTATGAAACCCCAAAGTGTTCCAAATCATCCATTGAATTTCGTTACAGGACAAACAATTGATAAATTTTAATTTAATATTAATTAAAAATATAAATATTAGGCACAAGTTTACCATTATTTATTAATTTGTTATTAACAAAATAAGTCATGTTGTTAATAATAATGAATAAATTATATAGGTATTCAGTTTTTTATTATCCTCACTTAGAATAATGATACATATTTTGAACTTGAATTTTGATCACAAAAATCTTAAAATTTATTTAAATTTTTTTCCTCATTTTATTTTCACTTTACAAGTACTGCTTTACACACTTTTATTATTTAAGCAATTACTATTTATTACTAATAATATATTTTTTCATTACTATATCGAAATTTTGTGACAAATTATAACGATACAATAAAAGAATGTTCGTTTGGGTGATCAATCAGAAATTAACACGTCCAAAGATTAATATCAATTTATTTAATATTAATGAGGACATGGTATACCGTTTAACTATCATTGGTGGTAAAGATTTTTTATTTGAGAGTCTACAATGGGATTAAAATGATAAAATTAGTTTAGACTAAATAATTGTTAGAATTGATATTACCTAAAACTTAGATCTATCTATCTATAAATAATATCCATTTTTGGCACTTTTGGCCAAAGAGTGTTTTTTCAAATTCAAAAAGTCTTTAATTTTTAACCGAGTTAGAAATAGTCAAGTCAATTATGGATTTTTGCAGAATGTCCTCAATTATTTTCTGTTTTTTGAAATTATTGATCTTTAACTTATTCAAAGTTTCAGTTAAAAATTAGTTTTTGAAAGTTACATTTGTGTAATAATTAATGTTTGACCATTTTTGGTTTGTATATTTTTTTATTAGTGTAATATCTGATTTTTGTAATATTGTGTCACTTGTTGAATTTCAGATCTTAAGAATTTTTGAATTTTGAACTAATTGAGTTTTGGAATTTTTACAATCATTTCGTTCTAATATTATCTAAACTGTAAAGTTTTAGATAAAAAAAAATCGTATGTTAATTTTTGAATTAAAAATCTTTATCATAAATATAGTTACTAATAATTCAATATTTACTATATAAAATAACCAAAAATATAAGATATTTTTTCCAAAAAATGACAAAAATTTGTATTTGAACAACTTACGTACACATACACAATTATTTTTTTCTAAGTCAATTTATACCAGAATATTCATAAAATTTATGGATACATAAAAATATGCTAAAAACTTTATTTCTGATTTTTTTAAGAATCTTTGTAATTTTTTTAAAAAATGCTTCAAATGGTTTCAGAAAATTCTAAATTACGTAATAACATTAATATAATTAATACTATATATATATATATATATATATATATATATATATATCATATAGTCTTATAAAAACTATGTATTCTGATTTTTAAAAAATCTGGTAGCAATTTCTTCTTTAATCAAAAAGCCCAACACCCTCTAATTGACCACCAAAGTAAATCAACAACGTTTTTACTTCCTCAATATTTTTTTGATACTGATTTTATTTGCATAAGGACTTAATTAACATTTAAATATCTGTCAATGATATATGATACTAAACCTCATAAATTATAGGATTTTTCCATAAACTTTATTCGAAACCGATTAAATACTTATTAACTTCCCGAAGGAGAAGTTTATGTTTTCATCGAAAAATCCGATTCGCTAATTTTATATTTTCTCGACGTTTCAAGCCATTCTGAATCGAATGAGACCAAATTTAATAATAAAATATATGTGTGTGTGAGAGACCAAAATTAATAAAAAAATATATATGTGTGTGTAAGACACCAATTTTTACTTATTGTCGAAGTTTTTGCAAAAAAGCCTGGACCGTTTCTAAAAAACATCCTAAACCTATTTTGAAAATTATTTGAAAGATAGATACTATTTAGAAATCGTACTGAGTAGTTTTTGGCAAAGATCGGCCGGTCCTTTCCTTCGTAATCAAATATAAGAAAAAATTGTTTGTGCTTTTTATGAAATTGAACATGAAAAATTTTATGCTATCTAAAATAATATTGACCTATAAAAATTGGTCGTGTCATATAAATTCTATAAATTTTGGAAGAATGAACTGCGTTTTTTCGTACACTATTACTAATATTAGGTTGTCAAATATCTCCCTTTCGCCTTTTTGTATTATAAACCAAGAGCAAAAAAGCGGAAGGGAGATATTTGACAACCTATTATAATTACAGATTTCATTCATATAATTATATATTATAAGTTGTTCGAAAGATTATTGAAAAAATAGAACAAATTAGATTTTTCTGTAATAAAAACCTATATCATCTATCTATTATAAGTTTTTTAATTAAACCATATAAACTTGTCTAAAGTTTTCAAATTAAATCCTCTTCACGAAGAAATCCTAGATAGTATCGAAACTTTTCATTTTCTAATTGAACTTATTTCTTGGAGTGCAATATCCAATATGATTCAAATTATTGCACTTCAAAAAATTATTATCAGTTTCTATAATTGTATATTAATGTTTTATTAATATTTTTTATATTTTTTTATTATTTTTAGTATGGAATGCGACCTTTGCTGATGGCAGCCTGGCATGGACATATTGTGGCGGTCAGGATGTTAATTGGATATGGAGCTTGTGTCACAGTTTTAAATAAAGTAAGGAAAAATTATTTATTTTATTATTTATAAATATGCCATACTTCATAAAATAAATATAAAAGGGTAGTACTGCCCTAGGCAGGTCCGTGACAAACAAAACTCCAACTCGATTCAGGGAAAAATTGTGTGAGAGATTTTTTATAAAATATTTTTAGGCTATTTAGGTTGAAGTGCGGATTATCTAATTGTTAATATTAGGAACTAAAACTTTCAGAGAATTTTCTTTTATCATTTTGGAAGCATTTGAGTCCCTGGGAGCAAAGAAATTTGAAAATATTCATATTAAGGACCACCCTAATGTATATCAAACGTATGGCTTAAATTAATTAAATATATAAAATTTTTTAAGTCGTGCATCGGATAGCACGGACTTTCTAGTCCACATTTTAGTGACTACATATAAAATATATTTCACTGATGATGAAACAAATTGAGTGTCAAAACGTTTGTGAAATTTAAAATACCTAATAAGTAGTGCAAAGAAAAGAAGTGCTCATAATTCAAAATTAATTTATTATATTTTTCGACCATAATATATTATTTTCCAAACCGAATTAAAAAGATTTCTCGGTGTGCACTAATTAGACATCGGGGAAAAATTTCGCCGCAAATTTTTTAAAAAAAAAAACATTTTTATTTTATAATTCATCATGATTAATCTGCTCCGGGATGCTCTAGGGAAAATAAGATAATTAGAAACTATGGCTTTGTGACATGGCACGTGAACAGTCTTTACATTTTAAAAAATATAACATTGGAAAATATTACACATTCGAAATAATAATTATGAAAAATTTATATCTTTTACATATATTTTAATAAAAATAGAGTCATTGATAGTGTGTCAGAGGTTGAAATTACTCCAGTAACAAAATTTGGCTTAATCAGATTTTTTTATAATCAGAATGTTGCCTGAAAACTTTTTTATGAATTTAATTTTGAAATTTTTTTTACACTTACTATACTCTGTTTTTTCGCACACCATTTTGATAAATGATATTTTTTCAAATAAATATGTATAAACATAATAGAATGTTATAAAATGTATATTAGACTTTAGTACATGAATTATATTTCTGTAAAACATGCTCAGCCAGGAAAAAAATATTTTTTACTGAATGTTAGTCATATAGTAATTTATTTTATATTTTTATATGTACCGCAAGAAATGGTTTATAATATTATAGGGTTTTTTTATATACTTGCATATGTATATATATATATATATATATATATATATATATATATATATAAGTATGTATAATATATATTTTAAGAAATAAAGAATATTGTTGTTTGTGAGTTTATGTCCGGCTATAAATTTTATTATACGGAAATAATATAAGTACAGAGCCCAAGATATAAAAATGAATTATTTATACATGTTTATATATATATATATATAATATATTTATATTTTATATGTAACAAGTTATATTAAATTCTACTTAGGTATCCTAACAAAAATATTTTTTTAAAATAGAATGAAATAAAATAGATGAATGAAATAGAATGAAATTTTAACAGATGAATTAACGTGATAATTATTAAAATTACAACAAATTTTGTATTGGCTTATATAAAAAAAATTATTAGACAGAACAAAATACTTGATAAACTTAAAATGCATAATAAAATATATTGTATATTAAAATAAAATAATTTATATAAAACATTTATTTTAAAATACAAAATTATGATCAATATTTATTTACTACTAATAAATCTCGAAATAATAATAAAAGAGTAAATAAAAATAGTTATGAAAATTAAAAAATTCATAATTAATAATTTACACTCGTGTTTGTTGTTTGAACAAAAAACACAGACATTTTTATTTTTTTTAAATATACGCATGTATTTGCAGAAATAAAATAATTATCTCAGAAATTAAATTTTGGTTTTAAGAATAATACTTATTAAGCAAAAATTACGAGAAATTATTGTAATATACGTTTCATAACAACATTGTACAAAAATTTGTTAAAAAATAATAGAAAATCATCGAATAATCATTGAGTTATTAAATTAAAAATTTAAAAAATTAAATTACAAACAGTAGATTCAAAAATATTTTAATGATGAAATCAAATGAAAAATTATGAAAAAATAATTTCTTTTTATGAGAATACATTCATAGATAAAAATAGCAAATTGAATATATATGAGCCTATTTAATAAAAAAATTGTGTGCATTTTATATCAAAATCACAAAAATCCTGAACATGAAACTTGATGAGATAAAACTATTGCCTTTATTTATTTTTCTAGTTAGAAGTGCAACATTTATAATTTATATTTGATTTTTTGAACTGTCAATTTTTTTTTCGATTTATGACTAGCGTAGTATTTCGATTATAAGTTGTGATTTAAAAGTTATTTGGAACCTTGTCGTATCTAAATAAACACGGTCAGCAAATCTAATGTAAATAATAAATAATTTTAATCTCCAGTTTCCAGAACCATTGTCAACTGTCATTTCAGAGTGTTCTGTTTTCTTAAAATTCATAACTGTCAAAATTAATTGAAATTTCTAAAATTTTAATAATTTGAATATGAACTAAGACTTTTAATATAGCCTATAACCTAAGTTGGATATAAATGCACATGGTGAGTCAATAAAATTTAAAATCGGTTCAGTAGTTTAGGAGTACATTGCGGTCAAACATTTACTTTGTGTATATTCCATTATTATACTAATAATGTTTGAAAGTAAGGGTTATCTGTGATAGCACAAAATCAATATGAAGTCAAGTTTAATATATTTTATAGAATTTTATAAAAAAAGCTAAACCGTTTAGAGAATTTTTTTATCAATTTGGAAGCATTTGAGGCTCTGGGAGCAAAGAAAATTAGAATTATCCATATAAAGGACGATTAGCCGATTAGCTTTTCTGATGTTATAGTAATATCATAATAAGTTCAAATTAAACACAATATTCTTCATGTATACTTTTATTTTCCCGTTCATTAATACTCTAAGATGTTGTCATCTATACAAAAATTACCCAACTGACCACATTAAATAACATTTCGGCTTTATATAACCTTTTAGTTAGAAGAGGGGTTTTACTCATTTTAGGATATGGTAAACTAAATTTCATTTATATGTGTGAGTGCAAATTATGTGATTCCCCGATCAAATTTCATAGGAATTACTGCGTCGTACGCAGAGGATCACGTACGCATTAGGAAAAAGTCCATCGATCCTATTTTTGATTATAATACTTTTGTTACTCGATATGAGTTGATACAATGTTAATACAATTCTTGGGATAAAAACAATGTTGAGAAACTGAGAATCGGATATATGAGTAGCGTATATTATAGTTAGTAATATATTAGTTATAGTTAAACCATTGGGTCGCAACAATATATATATATATATATATATATATATATATATATATATATATACATACATACATACATATATACATTATTACACCAAATTTCATTACCGCATTACCCCATTTATTACTTCAATAATTATTTGTTTACCCCCAGAAACATTACGGTATATTAACATGCGCAGCAAGGAACGGCCACGCCGATTGCGTCGCCTTCCTGCTCCAGACAGTCGAGACCCTTGACAAGGAGCAGGGCGACCTTCAAGGGCGCACAGCCCTTCATCATGCGGCTGCTCAAGGTCATGCAGACACTGTTAAGAAACTGCTGGAGAGTGGGTCGTCGTTGATGGCCAAAGATAAGGTAAATGGGATAAAGGATACAGGAGTCAATATTGGTTGATTGTTTGTCGAGTTTATTCTTCTGCAGCATCATATCTTAAGATTCTTTAGCTTTTTTTACCTACCATGGATAAATTTATTTCTCTGCATTTCTTAGCATTTATTTCCTTGTCAGTTTATTTTTTACAGCATCAAAAATTCTTGAAGTAATTTTGGTAGGACTTTTTTAGAATCCATGTCTCTGGTCCATACAGAGCCATACATCTTATTCTATTTTCTTGAGTATTTTATTCTATGTCAAATTTTAGATTGCCTGTCAGTAGAGTCCTTTTATATCTTCCCGAAGGAGAAGTTTATGTTTTCATCAAAAAATCCGATTCACTAATTTTATGTTTTCTCGACGTTTCTAGCCAATTTGAATCGAATGAGACTAAATTTAGGGAAAAAGTATGTGTGTGTGTATGTGTGTATGTGTATGTAAACAGATTTTTTGCCGTAAATCGACGTTTTCTCAAAAACGATTCGACCGATTTCAAAAATTTAAAAGCCATTCGATGTATCTCGATGAGGACTATCGTTTGTCAGTTTTGTGGGACGATCGGCCGAGCCGTTTCTTTGAAATTTGGAAAAAAGTGTTAAACTTTTCGTCTACATTTAAGCTCATCCTACCGAACCGATTTTAAAAAATCAAAAACTGTTTAAAAGATATTAGTTAGGAATGATACTGATTAGTTTTAGGTGAAAATCTACCGAGCCATTTTCTTGTAATTTACTGTTGAAAAAAAAATTAAGCCGATTTTTATGGAATTTTTTTTAGCGATATATGGTATATCATGGTCTTATAGAACTTACTGAAATATCACGGCCTTACGACAAGTAGTTTAATTTTAAAAATTCATCAGAGTTTGAGAAAATGAGTAGTTTTTTGACGTGAGCTAAAATTAAAATTAGACGATTTGCTTGGTATAACAATATAATACTTGCTCTTAATAAACATACTAAACCATTAAAATCGTACGGAAACTGGTTCAAATATAATAATTATTGAATTTTGAAAAGCTGCTTTTTGAAAATACTCCTAGTTATTAACGTGTTCGTTCGTTTTCAATCATGTGTAATAAATCCACTCATAAATTAATTCATTTTTTATTGATTTAAGTCGATTATTTACACATATCGGGAAGTTCATGTAACTTGCCTCAAGGCTAAATACCAATACCAACTAGTAATCTTTTGCATTCTTGGACAAAGACATAAGGTAACCAATACATGTTCAAATCCAAGATAAATTTTATATAGACTATGGGACCAATTCTCCTAAAAATAAAAATGTTATAGATCTAGCTTCATATAAACTATCAGTAAAAACTCTGAAAGAACAATAACCTACAAAACGCACCAGCGTCCAACAACAATTTTATCATATGTACAAATTTCTGACGTCACTTTGTGAAGATAGATTTAATATCTTGTTTAGATTTTATAACTTCTTGACTCATCCTTACTACCAACTCTTACGTATATAGACCCATAACCCAGCATTACCATAACATTTCTATTTCATCGAACAATTACCCTCTATCTACTATTTTTTCCCAATTTTCTTTTCCCAGGGAGGTAGGACGCCTCTGCATTTAGCAGCAGAAGGAGGCCACGTGGCAGTATGTGAACTACTGTCGTCTAGAGGTGACACCAATTCGAAATCTTTGTCCCTGAGTGATCAAGGAGGTTGTACGCCACTGCATTTAGCAGTAATGAACAAGCATTGTGAGGCCACAAAAGCGCTACTGACTTTGGGAGCTTCTGCTGAATGTGTAAACGAGGTAAGGTAAATGAAATATGTATATATATATATATATATATATATATATATATATTCGTTCATCTCTATTAACAGAATAAACCTCTTCTCTAGTTACTCGTTTATTTTCTCTAATTGCACTCTTTACAATATTCCGTCACTTTCATGTGTGTATGTTTGATCAATTATGTCATTCAATAATGTATGTCGATCATTGTAAACAAAGTGTGATAAAAGAAACTAATATAATTAGTCTGTACGTTTCGACAACATATGTGTGTCATCAATCAACATGTCATACTGAAATCATGTATAAAGAAAGTAACGTTTTCTATTGAATATGTATTTTATTAGAAACATTTAGTATATTAACTTAAAAATTAACTTTAAAATTTAATCCGTACGTTTTGAACCCGAATATGAGTCATCATTCATCATTTCAAACTAAAAACATATATTCTAAAATTATAATTTTCCATGGATCATATATATTCTATAAAATGATTTTATTTGCATTCAGAATGTGTAGTAAAAAATTAATATATGTCATCTGTACGTTTCGGCGTTAAATGTGTGTCATCAATCAGCATTTAAAAATGAAAACACACATACAAAATCATTTTCTAACAATCGCGAATTCTATAATCTATATTAATCGTTGTAGATTTCGACACTAAATGTGTGTCATCACTAAAAATATATATTCTAAAAATATCATTTTTATAAATGTATTTAAAAATGAAAAATATTTACATTGTTTTCAAAATGAGATGAAAAAATGATATATTTAATTTATACGTTTCGACACGTAATGTGTGTCATCATTCATTAGTTCAAACAAACATACAACAAATGTCATTTTGAATCAATTTTGTATTCTGTAGAATATTTTATTATCGTTGTAAACAGATTAATATATTTAATAATTAATATATTTAATTGTTACACGTTTTGACACTAAATGTGTGCCATCACTTCTATCATTTCAAACTATAAACATATATTTTAAAAATATCATTTTTCATAGATGTATTTACAAATAAAAAATATTTTTATTGTTTTCAAAATGAAATGAAAAAAATTATATAATAGATAGTTGTACGTTTCGACACGTAATGTGTGTCATCATTCAGCATTATAAATAAAAATGACACACCGTAAAAAATCTACCTATTTAAAAAAATAATTTTTCATGTCGTCTTCAAAAAAACTGTTCTATATTATGTATAAAGAAAGCATGATAAATATATTTCAGTTTAAACCAAAACCACGTATATTTTATAAACTTATTTTACTTCTTTTTTTCACTTATGAATTTATATAATTAGATTTATTTTTTGTGCTGATATGTTTTCACTAAATGATGACACATATTTGGTGTCGAAACGTACTGGTTTAAAATAATATTTTTACTAGCCGACAATAAATTTACAAGCTTACTATTATATTTTTTTTTAGAAATTAATCAAGCATTTTAATGTGATTTTTGTGTTGCATAATTGGTCTCTTATTATAAGAGTGCAAGATAAAAGAGTGAAAACTAAATAAGTCAATAAAATATTTGACCAAAAAATATAACAATTGTAAAAATGTTATCAGTATCAATCTAAATATTTTTTCAGAAAGGTTTCACGCCCCTGCATTTAGCCTGTCGTCTTGGATGCAGAGGAATTACTGAAACTTTAATACAATTTGGTGCTCCTTTAAATAAACAAGCCAAGGTACAATATTTCTTTTTGTTACACTTAAATAAACTGCATTACACTTTTCCAAAAAATCACTTTTTGTCCTAAGCTTTTTTTCCAAATCTCTGAATTTTGTCTATTTTTTAAAAGCACTCTTAGCAATATTTCTCTACTTGTCATGTTTATATTTTTGATGTAGTTCTTTGTCTAAGTCTACCTTTTGTTCCTTAATTGGAGTGCTTAATGATGTCACACATTTGGTGTCGAAACGTATAAATCTTCATATTATTTCTGTCTTTATTATTCAATTTTAATTATTTCCAATTATTTGTTTGCTAGAATGGAAACACTCCCCTTCACGAAGCCTGTCTATCAAATGAGATGGAGCTGATGGAATTATTGATATCCAAAGGCGCAGACTTAAATTGCGTCAACGTTGTAAGAACTGAATTAACTTAAGTATCTTTAATTGTACATTTTGAAAAATTAAATTAATTATCTATTACTTTTTTTCTATTTAGAGAAACGAAGCTCCGATCCACCTAGCAGCAGAATTGGGCAGGACAGAGGCGTGCAGGATGCTTTTAGCAGCAGGGGCTGATTTGAGTCATCAACAAGACACCAATGGAAGTGGGCCAAGGTCGCCAATGTTTTTGGCAGCTAGAGGAAGCTTTACGGCAATTGTGGATATGATAATACAGACTGCCAGGCTAGATTACCCAACCAAAGTAGTAATAGTCCCTATCAAATATTATTAAAAGAATTGTTATATATGTTATTTATCAATTTTTACGTTTTTAGGATGATGATGACCAAGCTGGTGATGGATATCCATGCAAAACTAAGCCTATTATAAATACTGCAAGGAGGAAACTTCTTAGTACTGGTGACTCTTCTGGTAAAAACATGATTGTTATTATCAATTCTCTTAATATTTATTAGTTTTATGTGCATTTATTAGACCAACTACTTGCCTTAAAAATTCACTACCACATACGGAATATCCAGATGTTTTAAAATTTTATCCAAAACCACCAAAACAATTAACCAAGACTGATCAATCATATCAAAGTTCTAATGTTCCTTCTAATATACAAAGTTTATTACCAGTTTCTAGTTTCTATATATAATTTCAACTGTCCTAATGTCCTAAAATTGTTACTAGAACAGGAACAACTCCAGATATCTCCAAAATTTACTCAAAAACCTCATAAAATTTTTACCAAAAATGATCAGTCTCTTCCAAGTTCTAACCAAAACTTAATATTTCTTCTGATGTACAAAGTTTCTTACTAGTTTCTGGTCTCTAGGTGACATTTTATGTATTCCTAATGCTCTTAGATTATTACTAAAATAGTAGCAATTCTTGGCATATCCAAAATTTACCCAAAACTCTCATAAAAACTTTACCAATGTTGTTCAGTTTTTTTCCAAAAGCAGACCAAAACTTAACATTACTTCTAATGTGCTAAATTTGTTACTAGTTTCTAGTCTCTAGACACCATTTTAAGTTGCCCTGATAGCCTAATTTTTTTTACTAGAACAAAAGCACACCCAAAATCTTCACCAATGTTATTCAGTTTCTTCCAAGTTTTGACTAAAACTTATTATTCCTTCTAATGTACAAGGTTTGTAACAAGGTTTTGGTTTTCAGACACCATTTTAAGTTGTTCTAATATCCTAAAATTATTACCAAAATAGAGAAATTTTTTGGACATCTTCAAGCTTTTGGAAATCCAAATGCTGGTCATTCATATCAAATGTTTTCAACCAAACACGATTGTTATCATAACAAACAAAGTTTATCACAAGTTTCTAGGTAATAAAATTCATTTAAAGTTGTGCCAAGTCCTTTAAAATCTTACCAAGATAGGAAAATGTTTTAGACATGTCCAAACTTTACCAAAAACCACGATAAACACTCCACCAACGTTGTCCAGTCTCATCTAAGATCTGAAACAAATACAACAACTCATCTGGTCTACCAAATTTATTGGCATTTTAGTACTCTTTTCAGCACCAATTTTATGTCCATTATTACTGAAACAGTAGCAAAATTCAGACACATCCAATACACCACCAAAACTCCACCAAAATTTTCTAAACCCACCAAATCTTCCCCCAAACCTATCAGCACCACCAAAATTCTCATCACATTAGTAGCCAATTTATTACATTATTTTTTAAGATTGGACTTCAGTAGACGAACCCTTAGTGCCATCAGCCTGCACATTACCAACAACAGCAGCATCATCAACCTGCAACTCTGAAGATTCTGAACATCTTCAAAAAATTTTGCACAAACTGTCCCACAGATTTCTTCAAGACGGTGACTGGAGGGCTTTGGCGTCTCATTGGGCCTTCACCGAGGACCAAATCAAGGCCATTGAGCACCAGTATGCAGGTAAGATAATAGATAAATTGAAGCCATACTTTTATATTTGTAATTAAAATTAACATACATTAATTTACTGTTTGTATTTACTTTTTCGCTGGTGATACAATATCATTCTTTGTACAGCTGTAATATCTGTCTTGCCTAAAAAATTGAAGCCATACTTTTATATTTGTTTTATTTATCAAGCCCTGCACATAGCTTGATCTATGAATCATTTTCTTTTTTATGTGAATGTTAATGCAATGATCATCATCAATATTACGAGGTAATGAATTAATCATATTATTAACGTCAACAGGCACATTTATAATTTGGCCAAATATTTCAAATTATCCATTTGCATGTTGCAATCGTCTAATTTGCATGAAACAAAACCTAGATAAAATTAACTTCTTAGATACAGTATCTAGTTTAGGTAGATAATTTTATTATGTTTTTTTGTGTTTTTAGGTCCCAATAGTTATAAGGAGCACGGTTATAGAATGTTGACGATTTGGTTGAATGCTTTGCCTCGTAGTGCAGTTCCTTCCAAAGAACTTTGTTCAGGTCTAAGGGCTATTGGAAGGGACAATATTGCACAAAAGGTTACTGCTAAATTGTTGAAGGAAAGTCAGAAATCTGAGAGCAGACATCGAGATAGACATTTGTCTCAGTGTGTTGTAATTTAATATTTATACCCAGTAAAATGCAATCCAAAGCCAATTTTTAATAAGACAATCAGAACATTTTTATTGGTGGTTATTGAAACATTGTGGAACTTTGTTTTTGTCAGAAAATTCTATTTGCTGATTTTACGCTTTCTAGGCGTTTCAAGTCATTCTGAATTGTTTGACAGTAAAATTGTACAGCAGATGCTTCATGAACGTCTTTTGCACAAATTCAAAAACTTCAAATCTATTCATATAAATTTGTATCTAAATATACGTATCTCATAACATTTCTAAATTATTTTATTTTACAGCAAGATGAAATTATTTATTATATCTTAAGATGGAACTAAAAAGTTTCCTTTCTAAAAACATATCAAAAATTTGAATCTGTTTCCAAACAGTCAATTCTAATCAGACCCAAATGGTTTCAAAAAGTTTATAAAAATGTAATTGTTTATGTTTATATAAATGTATTATATATAAAATATTTATGTATATAAATGTATAATATAAAATATAATAAATAATGTTTGAAAAGATGTTGATTAGATAAATTATTTAGAGCCGTTTTGCCGAATCCTCTTTCATTAATATAAAATAAAAATAAATAGATAAAATAAGTATGAACAAGAGAAATGGTATATCTTTAAAAATTAATTTATTAAAATTATCTTTTACAAAAGAAAAATGTTTTTTTTATTTAGGTGAGACAAATTTTGTAGATAATATTAATTTCTCTAGAAATTTTTGTAAAAAAAAGGAAGGCATTCATATTATTATTGAGAAACTTGAGGCTGTTATTGACGACATGGTTTATGAAATGAGAAGGATAAAAGAGTTATGGATTAAAAATAAATTTAAATAAATAATAATTGCACCAGGAACTGAATATTATCCAAAAACGTTTTGCCGAATCCTGTTTTATAAGTATTGATAAAAACAGTATTAATAAAAGTAACGATACCTTCCTTCTTACTATGAGAAAATTATTATGTCATTCACCCACAATTTTCTGTCAACTTTTTTTAGTTTCTTGGTTTATATTAATTTATATATATATATATATATATATATATATATATATATAATTATTTGATTTTCGAAGTTAAACTTCTTTAGGCGCGACTAGGAGAAACTCAGGCCAATTCGTCATTGGCCATCGGTGATTATTCAAAACAAGTTGGTACGATTGATTGATATCGCTTTGTCACGTGATATTTTTGATTCAGTCAGTTTTCAGTTTTTTTTTAAGTAAAACTTGTTTAGACGCGACTAGGAGGTAGCTCAGCGAAAATGCAACGGAACAAATACTGATTTGTTATTGACAATGAATGTGGTCGAGATCGTATTGTTATGTGATATCTTTAATTCGGTGAAATTTCAGTTTTTTTAAAGTAAAACTTGTTTAGGCTCTACCAGGAGTAAGTCAGCAAAAATGCAACGTAAATACGTTACGCCACAAATTTTAACTTGTCATTGGCTATCGATGTGGTCATTCAAAACGAGTTGAAGCGATTTGTATTATGTGATATTTTTTATTCTGTGAACTTTCAGTTTATTGAAGTATAACTTCTTAAGGCGTGACTAGGACTAAAACCAAACTAAATTACTTTCGTCTTTAGTATGGGCTCGTGCTCTTACAATGCTTAAATCTCAAGGAATATTTTTGACAAGATAGTATATGAATATTGCAAAACTCATAATCAACAGCTGTTATATGTTGCATTTTTGTTATGGATTAATGGATTGTGCATTGAGGACAAAAAATGGTTCAAAACACGTTCAACAATAAAAAAAAAGAGTGCGCGTAAGGATCACACGCGATTGAAGTAAAACTTTTAATATTGTATGAGTAGGCAATTAAGATAAAAATAAAAAAAACATATTTGAATTTTAAAAATCATTTATTAATAATCACATAACATCAATAACACAGTTTAAAACAACAGCGATAGATTAATTGCTATCATATTTCATATATGATATAATAGGTTTGTGATAACTGAAATGAGAGACATAAATTTTGCTTTGTAAACTATGTACATTTCTGGAGAAAACTGTATCAATAGTCGTGCCATATCTTGTGGTTGATTCAAATGGAGAATTATTCATTGTTATATTAAATTTATTATTTAAAAAATCAATTAATGGTTGAGATTCTTCTGAACGAAAATTGACATTGAAATCTCCAGGAATAATTAATGGTATCTCGTTGTGATTAGTATTTAAAAGTTTTGCACCCTCATTAGAAAAATGAAGTAACTGCTGATGAAGAAATTTAATAATATTTGATACGTTTTTATTGGGAGAAATTTAAAGGACGACTATAATCAATGTTTGATTCTGTGTGTTCACACAGCGGACAACTGCAATATCACCTACTTGTGTAATTTCATTAGGAATATCCAGTAATATTGTTGGCGCAAGAAACTGCATAGGAGTCGCATTATGAAGAGTATCTGAACATGAATGATAGACAGTTACACCACTACACAACCTGCTCTTGAGTTTGATCGTTTGTATTGAGTAACGCAGTAATAGTTCTGAATATCAATTCGTTCTTCATTATTAATCCAAGATTCCGAAAATAACAAAAACGTACAACGTTGTAGCACTTTATCTTGCAGATCAGGCAAATGAGCTCGTAAACTTTGGCAGTTAAAGGAAAACAATGAAATGTCGTTCAAACTTATTATCTCACTCAATTTTTCTTCTTGTGTTATTAATCTACAAGTTGAAAGTCTTTGGAATTCAGTTTTTAAGTCCATTAATCCTGCTGGCCGTTTTCTTCTATGATACAATTTTTTGTCGTTGTTTTAGAAATGATGAACAATCCATTAATGTTGGTAACTCGTGATAATGCAACATATAGAAGCTGCTGATTATGTGTTTTATTGTATTCATATACAATTTTATCAAAAGTACCACCTTGTGATTTGTGTATTGTGAGTGCACAAGCAGACACTAAAGGAAAATGATTTCTTTTGACAAATATGATTTTATTTCTATTCATTGGAATAGATGAAGATCTCCTGAGAATCGGCACAGCTGTCCTACTGATATTAAGAGTTTGAATATGATGTGCAGCTTTCTTTCTAATTTTGTTACCTATCTTACCAGGAAATTCAAACCATAAACGTAGAAGTTCATCATTATCGCCACGTTCTATGTACACTAATTTTCCCACACAACCATTAGCTAAGCCACCACTCACATCAATATTAGTTGTTATTATGTAAAATTTATTCAGAACTAAAATTATTTCATACGGCAAACCCCCGGTATCAATAACCGATTTTTGTGAAACTGCTGACGAATGTATGATTGTTGATCTGTCGCATGGCAACCTACATAAATATCCGTGGCAGTAGATATTATTTTGTCTTCAACGAGATTCAGTATAAATTTATTATATTCCATGATACATTTATTCTCTAAGAAAAGTCTTATTCCATGAGGACATAACATAAAAAACGTGATTCAATTAATGCAAGTTCATATAGGGTTTAGCGCTCGACGTACGCATGACATGACGGGAGTGGATACTCGCGACATCAGCGCTTACGGCGTCGTAGTGTTCAACTTCACGTTGGCGTTTTCGTTGCATTTGTACGGATTTACACCCGTGTCGCGCCTAATGAAGTTTTTACACCCATATCGCGCCTAAAGAAGTTTTACTTCAATAAGTTTTGATGATATTTAACTGTTATAAAGTGTCAATATATTTACATTTTTAATGAATTAATAAAACTCGTTACTACTTATCATTTATTTCAAATGATTTCACATGAGGTAACATCTAGTGCAAGAAGTGTTATTTTTCACATCTATTAAAATTCATGAATATATTTACTTATAATTATATAATAACTATGATTACTGATATTGTAACAAGTGTGTAGTTTTTTCTTTATTTCTCGTGCAATTTGTATGAAACTCTCTTCACCCGTCGAATCATCTGATTTTGATCATCAGGATGAATACCTTTTGGTCGTTTCTTGATGTTTTTCTGTTTATAATAGTTGCCACAAATAAAAACCAGCAATTCCAGAATAAAAACCAGAAAACTGATTATCATACAAAGTGCCCATCCGTAAAAAACATACTTCAACTGCTCCATGGTGAAAGTGTTCAAGTGACTTTCCATCTGTCCAGCTGTCCTAATTTTCCTACGCAAATCCTTATCGTAAAAATGATCATCGTATATTTTAACTAAGATACCACTTTCAAATATTTTCATCATAATTTTATCCAATCTGTCGCGATATGGCGAATTTTTAACCACCATGAACGATGTTGGGTAATTTATTACGTTTTCGATTTCATGAATCAACTCACCATTTTGATCATGCGTGTCTAATATTATTTTAGCCTCTATCGAATCTTGAAAAAAAGCTGTGTGTTTATCATATAATAAATATCCTATTGTAAATTCGTCCTGAATCATTATATTTCTGCCTGGAGTGCTTGGGATTTCATTCATAGACTCTACTATGTATGGTACGAATTTCAATGATCTTGGTATTGATAAATTTAAATTGCTGTCAAGAAGTTCATCAAAACTATTGATATCCATGCTTTTTGAGGAAGTCCACAACATTGATATCAGATATCCTTGGAAAAACGTGCTGAAAACTAAGGACGTGAAGGCGACAGCAATCATTAGGATTTTACCATGACGATGGTTTGGGAAGTTTTGACTAATTGTCAACAGCAAACCAAATACAATCAGACATATATTACCAAAACTGATGTTTTTGGATGTACCATCAAATTCTGATCGTATCTTGTTCAACAAGTACCATACAAAAATTAGAATTAAAAAAGCAGTTAAGAAAACAATCCACCACAAGGAAAACCAATCAATTCTATCCAACTGGAATATTTCTGGATATTTAGGAGTAAGGATGCTCACACTTTTTCTAAAAATTGGAAACAGAGTTGTTACTTTACTGTTTTGAAAGTAGTACAAATTTTCCAAGTTGACGAAGATGTCAATTTTTTTCTGCTCAAGATAA